GAGTCAGTTTTTATTGCCCCTTGTCAGTGGTTTTTTGATCCATAGGGGGCTTTTTATTCTTCTCAGAAGCCATTGGTTAGGGGCCAAGAAGTGTGAAGAGATAGTCAGGGATGACACATATCATTGATTATCCATAGAGTAAATGCACTATTGACATTTTACCCTTATTTGTAGATACTTGAGTTTAGAACTTTATCTTATTTTGATACTTTTGGTGAATGTGTGTGGTTTGTGGGTTACATGACGAACAGTTGTGATTTTGATTAACATTGGGGCAATTCCACGGTAACGGAAGGACACTCAGACAAGATTTTTGAACTTCAGGTTCATACTAAAAGAACTGTTTTATTAGTATAAGATGTGAAACAGTACAGATATAATACCTATATAAGTGCCTTTAATTCTCCCCAAAAAAATTGTCATTATAGTTAAGTAGTTTAAGAATGTGCATATTAATTATCTCGGTAACGGAAGGACATAAAAATGGACATGGTTTTTCCAGTTAATTAGTGTTTATCCAAACTTTGTGAAGTTGATGAAGCTTTCCACTTGACTGAAACACATTTTGTTCCCCATAGTTTAATACATACTAATAAAACATTTCTTTTAGTATGAACCTGAAGTTCAAAAATCTTGTCTGAGTGTCCTTCCGTTACCGTGGAATTGCCCCTTGGATTAATAATTTGCAGGTTTCGTCATTACGATAAGCCCCAGTAATAGTAATATCTACAAAGGAACACAGTGAACTTGATTTCTCTTGACAATTCTTCAGTTTATCAACTGGTTCATTTGTAACTTTTCACATTGCAAATCACCCACAAAATTTCATCTTTTGGAGAAATATATGTTTGTCTTTTCTTTTGGTTTCAATGTCATTTTATTAACAATCGTGATTATTAACAAAGCAAGTAATAGTACATACACTTGTATAGATACTACAAAAAAAGTATATAAAAGTAGAATAGAGAAAAAATCCAGGTCATGTTTTAATATTAACAATTAATGGAGGGCTAATACTTCATATTATTCATAATGGAATACATGATACATAATGTACACAGTACTAACAGACACGTTTAACATGTCATCTGTTTGGGGTCACAAGGACGTTTTAAAACTTGATATCAAAGTACAGGTAATATAGATCAATGTCATTGTGGCTCCAAACAGACGATGCTACATAAATACGAAATGGATATTTAGAATTCAGAAACAAGTGACTTATGTGTAACATCATAGAGAAAACAAATGAATTGAGCTGTTGGAACAAGTATGGATGATGATTTTAGAGTAATTGTCCTTTTATATGAATTTCAAAGAGTCTAAAATTATACTTCTTTGCTGTTGATGAGTAGCTTACTAAATAATCCCATCAATGTTAGGCAATTATAATATTGATAATAACAACAACATGCATGCCATTTTGTATGAAATGTTTGTAGAATGTTACCTTGATGGATATTGACCAAGCATAATTGGACTTCTTTGTATTCCCTAATTGGATTAGGATGTGAAAGAAGATGTGGAAAAAGTATATGACAATAGCTGCACTTACACTGCAAGAGAAGTACATTGATTTTCTCACATTTCAGTGTTATATTGGCAGTTCAATTCAAGTTAATTCAGTTTATTTCGCAATATAAAAATTGAATATAAAAATCAAAGAATACAAGTAAAAACTGCAAATTTTAACTATATTCATAAAAGTTATATGCAGGGCTTTCCATGAAGGTTGCAAAAACCTGTAAAGTGGAATCGCCCAATGCTAGCAATATAACAACAAAAACATGGCGTGAAACCGAAGTTGAAAAATGCTCTTGTGGAGTATGGGTTTTTAAAACTAAGCAGAGATTGAACTGATCTTTGCAGTGTAAATACCCGCTCTCGAAACATCGGTGAACAATTCTAGTTTTTCTTCACGTGACTCTCCTTGCTTCTATGCAATCGCAGGCAGAGCAGCGATAAGTCGTGCATGGGCACTACTCGTCCAAAAAATTGTATTCCTATACAAAAAAAGTCATGTACGTGAGAACAAAAGTTATTTTATTCCTTTGTGACAGTTATATAAACCAATTAATCTGATAAACAAATGCATATTTTATAAAATGATCATTTGCTAAGTTTGCATTAGAATGAAAGTGACATGAAACTCTCCATTACTAGTCTTTGAAATAATCATTATATTATACAGGCCTGATAATTACCCGATTTTTAATTTTTTTTCCCTGATTTCTTCCTGATTTTTTTTTTCTTCCCAATTTTATCCTTATTTTCCTGATTATCCCCTTCTTTTCTCAATTTTTCTTAAAATTTTATTACTCAAAGGGGGGGGGGGGAATGTTGTTAGATGCCAGTTTCCCTCCCCCCCCCCCCGATCCTCTCTTTTTTTTTTTACTCAAGGGGGGGGGGGGGCGTGGTTGAGGGGGGGGGGGAATTTTTTCTTTTTTTTTAGTGCTCACTATCACCCCTGATTATTATATGTCTCAAATTAATACATTTTCAAAATCACAGTTTTTAGAATTATAGGATTTGTCATTGAACTATAAATTTAATTTTTAAACTTTTATCAAACTCTACAAGTCAGCTTTAAACAGTGTTTAAATGTCAGTGTTCCATCTATTGAAGTGCTGTATGTAAGGCATTCGAATGTGTGCAATAACGTGTCATTCCAGAGTAGAAAACTCCTTCAAATTAGAGAGTTAACAACTGAAGGTCATTTGTATTATACAGACGGACAGACAGACAGACAGAGAGCATCATCATCATCACGGGCTATGATAGGATCATCATGGCTTGAATATTTGTGAGATGAAATGGGTGACGTTGTAGCAGGCAGCTGACAACTCATTTCCTGATGGGAATTTCAAATCCCAAATACAGATACATGTAGTTTGCTTGATAGCATCATCAGGCCTGTTCTCATTAGCCTATTATAAGTTTTCAAAATACTGATCCGTAGAAATTAGCCTGATCATCATTGGCTTGGGTTAATTAGCAGTGGAGACAGATATAGTGGGCTATTAAACCCTTGTGCATGGTGTTTAGTGAAGTTTAAGCTCTTTTCTCGAGCAATCTTGAGTTTCTTCACACACAAAAATGCCTGTTTGGCCAATTTGTGGGATTATAATAGCTGATGAGAATGTGCTCGGACTATATGTTATGAAGCTCAAGATTATCCCTCAAGCGATTGGGATTGCTTAACTCAGACTAATGGAAACAACACTTCAACTGTTTTTTTTTGTCAAGAAGGACTGATCATTGTTCTTAACTCAAGCTCATGGTTGTTTGGGCTAATGGAACTGCACCTACATGTACATGTACATGTATGATTATAGCAGTGTCTGAAAAAGGTCATACTTGTAAGTTACCAGCAATCGTTGAAACAAAAATTGTAATATTAGCTCTGTATTGTATTCTAGTCAGAGTTAGTGATATTAAAAAAGGCAAATGGAAATTGCAATACTATGACTTGTAATTAATGCATCAAATAACAAGAACACTCCTTGTATTTTATACAGATTTGCAAAGATTTATGTGTCAAAATGATTAAATCACAACTGATGCAACACATTTTTTTTTGCTGTGAAAATGGCTGTCGTTACCAATTCAACGAGTTTATGTCGCAAAAGTCTCTGATTCTACACTACAGTCATTTTATTGCTACGTTTTTGTTAGAAATTCTTGGTCTAATAACAAAAAGGACCTGTATGCCTTAAAATATAAGACTAGTATTTTGTACTACCTGTACATGAGCAATGATTCAGAAAGATCTAAATAGACAGTTTCACATTTACTGTCAAAATAGAGTTGCAATAGGCCATTCTCGTAATGTAACCAATTTAAAGATACTATGTTCCTTTTGCAGCCAACCTCAAATTCTGTAGAACTTTGCAGGAATTATGAATATGTCATGTATGTCCTATCTGTGAAATTTAAACGTTAGCAGTGTCATGATATTCAAATTATGCAAGGAAACCCGTTTACTTGCTAGACTTCACTGTCAGACACTTTTGTCAGTATTGAGTGACTGACTGGCTTTTTCTTCTTCTTTGGTAATAACATACATATAATGAGCTGTAAAGGATTTGTCTACATCAATAACCCACTTCTTGTAATGGCCAAAATTAAACTGATTGAATCTTTGCGCAGCATAAAACGTACGACCATGCGGCACAATGGTCTGAACATCAAGACTATTACTTTTGGGCTCTATAGCCCTAAAGTCGATTTGACAACTAATAGTCGTTATTTTCCCACTTGAAGACATTTTCAAGCCCCACCTTTTTTAGGGAAGTTCTAAATTAGTATTATCTTTCAAATGCAGTTGGAATTTAACTTTTTCATTTTTTTGGCCTGCAAATGGGACATAGTACCTTTAACATCAATTCTTACATTCACCTAATATGAATGATTGCATTTTAAAATTCAGAATGCAAATTGCATATTACGTGTTGCTACATTGTAGGTAGGATAAGCCATAATGATTGATACATTTATTCGCAACGTGTGAATAAAATGATTGATATCGAGGCACTTGTGTATAAATTTGGTTTCATTATGAAAATGGCTGTTTCACAATCTGTATTTGTACATGTATGTATTCTTGTGCAGGCAAGTCCTTAGCTCTCACAATTCACAATGTTACAATCATTTTGGAATGTTAATCTTTCTCAACCTTCACTTTTCAATGTACATGTACACATGCAGTTTGAGGCTAATACCAGAGAAGTGTTATCATTCTCAGGCTTTACCTATAGCCAGGAAGAGCTGTTATGCAGTCAGACAGTGCAAACACTCACTGCCCAACCTCTTCCAGAAATAAACTAATTAAAGAAAACAACAAAAAAACAGCTCCACTGGAATTATGTATGAAGTATGGGTGCCATTGAGGTATTTATATTTCCCTGGTGTATGTTACAGCCGCATAATAGGCCAGCTATAACCAAATAATACCACATGTGCAGCCAAGCTTGAACCCCTATTGTGCTTCAAAAGTGAAAAGAGAGAAAGAGGCCGCTGAGGGGACTGCCTAGCTGCGGCCAGTGAGCATTTTGATCCAGTGCGGCGAGTTCACTTGGTACATACTGGTGAATTTTAGTTGTGTTTTTGTTGACGTTACGTGCAGGACGTCTGTTAACTTGGCTCTAGCTTGAGGAAGAAGAAATGTAGGACTATTTGTCATATCGCTGCTACGTACGTGCTTCAAGGATTGATACAGTTTCTTTGGAGGTTCGGGGTCAGGGATAGGAATCTGATTTTATTTCCTGGAGACATTATTGCAGTCACCCATCGGTGTGTTTCTCTCGTGTGATTATATTTGTGAATTTTGATGATAATAGGTGAGTACCAATATTGATACAGTCATGATTTGATTTTGTAAGGGTGTACAGAGCAGTCATGCTTCTAATTGCTCTTGATAATCTTCAAAAGAACTTGCAGTAGCAACTTACAGCAATCAAATGCAAGTTGATTCTTGAAATGTTATCATTGCTTTGATAAAACAACTTTATTTATAGTTAAATTTTGACAACCTTCACAAAAAAATGTAGAGCACATGCTCAGTTCATGGCTCTTTGGTTTAGTTCTGGCTGGTAAAGATGTTAATTGTAAAATGAGACGAATCAAACCATTTCCTAGTTTCCAAAGAAATGTAAACATTTGCATTTTCTTTTTATGAGCAGAAATGGAAGTTGTCAGAAGATATTGTGAACAGTGTACGTGTACATGTACAAAAATATTTGCATAATTTAATTTGTTGTATTGTTTATTTTGATGTGGTGTCCTAGCTTTGCGAGTAATTTCAATTTTTTGTGGACAAATTCAGAATATGTTACAAGACTGTTTTGCTCAGTGTTTCAGGGTTGTCTGTTATGCTTGTGTTGTCCTCATTTTTAAAACTCTGTGCATTTAAAACAAATCAAATAGAGAGCTTAATTGTGGATAAGGACTGATAAATTGTTAAAACCATCAACATTTGTGGTCTTGAAACTTTCGCAAATTTTGAGAGTATTTGAGATTTGCAAAGGTTTCATGCCATGGAACGATTAATTCAAATTTATTATGACACCAAATTGGGAAATTCATAGTTTCTTGCCACAAAAATGGCCATCAACTATTTTCTAAAGTTTCATATCACAAATGTTTGCAGTTATACAGTATTATAAAGTGAAGCATCTTCATTTTTCTTCAAATATCCTAAAGCTTTGTAATTTAAATTTCAGAAAAGACCTGTGTATAGTAACATGTACATGTATGTGTAGGATATCATAAAAATGATGGTGAAATAAGGTTCTGTGCATAACTGAATGAAGGAATGTGATATAGGAAATGATTGTACCGGTAGTCTTTAGTATTATCTTCCTTCCTGAGCCAGTGATAATGATCTTTAGGATTGGTCAAATCAGGTCACAGTCAGTCTCTCTCTCTCTCTCACTCTCTAATTTCCCTCTTTTACCATCTCTCTCTACCCCCCCCCCCTTTCTCCCTCCCCCCTCTCTCTCTCTCTCTCTCTCTCTCTCTCTCTCTTTCTCTCTCTCTTTTTTCTCTCCCTCTTTTTTCTCTCCCTCTTTTTTCTCTCCCTCTTTTTTCTCTCCCTCTAAGGATACAAGTTACATTTGAAGCCAAACCTGTTCCCTTTTTGTTTTTCATTCTAGAAATATTGTTTTATGACGTTGTCATCTAAAAATATATACAATATTCTATCTAGAGCTAGAGTAATTGTAACTTGGTATTGAAGCTACATGCTAATTTTATGTCTTGAAGTTCATAACCTGGGTGTTGTTTCACAAAACCGTTTAAAGTACAAGCTCACCGACATGCCATTGAAATGTGTATTAGATTTAATACACACAATTCAAAGCGCTGTTCTGCAAATTTGTACTTATCACTGTTCTGTGAAACGCTGCCCTAAAGACTTGATATTATAATTGACTATGAATACTCATCAGCACAAGATTTTGACAAGAGATTTTGCAGGACTTGAGTCTCCTATACCAGAGTACATGTTCCTGATTTTGTGTAACTCTATAGACTGCTAAGTCTGATCGCATGTACAGTGTATGATTATTAGAATACATGTAGAACTACAGTATACAGTCTCATTTTCAATTTATTTGGCATCAATTGACGATAGTGATATCTGTCAAAGTAACAGGTTGTAATTGATTACCCTGTGATGATAATAAGCCTGTTCTAGTTATTGGGTTCATGAATCGACATCGAAATAAAGAGAGAGAGAAAAAAAGACAAACAAAGGTTATGTTATGTTGAGGTTTTGATATAAGTGACATATTTTCAAAGAATCAGGGATATGCTGAACCCTATGAACCTTTAATATGTTTTATTTCTTGGACAGAAATGATTTGATTTGACAGCTTTTCCATTTCCTGCTGCTGCTGTGGGAATGGCCAATGATAAGGTCAGGGTTCCTGACTATAAACCTCATTTCATTTATGAATCAACATTTCACAAGAAACTAACTGTATACATACCGTAAATGTGTATCGATGAACAGGCTAATACCCCTTTCTAACTGGCCTGATTTTCATCGGATGCATCCGGACGCATCCAATGAAACGGCCAGTATGAATGCTACAGAGGAGAAAAAGGCGATTAAATAGCCGATGAAAAGAAGAGAAATAGGCGATTAAATTCTCATTCTATCGGTATGACACCAATGAAACAGCCACTGTGAAAGTGTTTGGGAGAAAACAGCGATTAAAATGGTCTAATGTCGCAGTGTACATGTACGCACGCTTTATCGTAACCAGCTGTGTTTGTTCACAAGGTCCGCGGTTCAAGTCCCACCGCGGCACTAATGTCCTTTGGCAAGACATTGATCTACATTTGCCACTCTCCACCCAGGTGTTAAATGGGTACCCGGTAGGATGCGAAAGCTAATGTGCTTAGATTAGCAAGTGTGCGCTTGTAAAAATGACGCCTGGCTGGAATGCGCATACATTGTGTGCGGGTAAGCCTTGAATCCGATGATTGGGGTAATAGTATATATATCTGTAAGGTGCTTTGATAGGGCCCTCCTGAAAAAGCGCCATATAAGAAATAGTTATTATTATTATTATTATCTCCGTAGTGACATTATTAAAGATATTGATAATTTTTTTCAAGAAATGAATCTTTTATATTATTAATGAAATGATTATATTTTCAAGGAATGAATCCTTTAAATTATTAAAGGAATGAAAACATGTAATTAAATTGTTATATTTACAAGGAGTGAATCCTTTAAAATATTAAAGGAATGAATATATGTACTTAAATTTTGAAGTGTGCAGGCTCTGGCAATTGAAGTCTTATTTTCTGACCATTAAATTCATTATTTGAACATGATTGTGCACAAAAACATTATTTGATCAATCAACATTCAAATGAAATTGATTAAGGCAGTACTACTATGTTGAAGGAGTATTCATAATGTTTATCAGAATAATAATTTGAAGGTCAACTGATGGTAATTTGCCACCTTTTTATCAGATGTCAATAAGTTTAATCAAGATAAATCTAATAATACAATCTGAACAATAACTGAAATGGATATGACGTATTGTTTAATGATCATAATTTAAATGTTAATCTAGTGTTGTCTTTACACCTCATCAAGGTCTTATCTTCTTTCCTGTGGTGGAGGATTGTGGTTAATTTTAATTGGGTCAAATGAGGTCAATGAGAGTACTTTGGGAAGTAATCCTGAAAATTATCAGTTTGTGTAAATAAAATTTGAGGACAGGGAAGTTGAGAAATCACTTGTTTCATTCACCAACTCAGTGTGGTTGTCCTCAGATCGATTGTCGTATGCTTTTTACAGTCACTGTTCCTCCTAGACTTTTATTCTTGCTTTTTGAACCCAGAGTTTAATACTTCAGTGTATTAAATACGTGGGAATGAATATTTTTGATAAAAGTGTATTGAATTATTCTACATGAGCAGCCATATGTACGGCACTATCGTCACCCCATATTTTCTCTGTTTCATGTCAAAGTTTCATGATGTAATGGCTATGATATGCATGGTCATGGACTCATGGCCCAACAGTTGTTTGTGAAATTACAACAACGTGTCCTTGTGTAATTTCACATTTGTGACAGAACAAGATAGTAATCATCATTCTTGTATGATGTCATTATTGTCTTAGATCCAACGTCCATTGTCATTCATAGAATGAAATAAGCCCAACCTAGCTGTTTTGGGTTACATGTATATCCCCTCCCATTGACTCATTTACTGAGCAAACTCCTTAATCTTCAATGGTTTCCTTATTTACCACCAATCATTGAAGATCATCAAGCATGTTTCCATATAACGGTTTGTTGACAGTAGCTAGGTTCACACGGCAGTTGGTTAACTGCAACTTTAGGTTGTGGTTTTAAAGTTTCAAAGTTATCTTGTCTTCAGGGAATGTGTAGACACACTTGTGGTTAGGAAACTTAAGTTTACTTGAAGTCATAAACCAAAAACAATCTTAAGGTTTATAACTACGAGCAGTGGAGGATCCTCAATTAAAATTATGTGCCGTTTGGAACTTTGGATGAAGTTAACATTGATGTTATGCCAGCTTGTAGTAAAAATGACTGCTTACCCGGCTTGCAGTTTAAAATGTTTGATACTCATTGTTTCGGTCAAGCACGTTTCCATATAACGGTTTGATAACAGTAGCTAAGTTCACACGGCAGTCCCACATGAACCCTCATCATCGGTAATGGATTATTGTATATAACTTTGAGGTTTCGCAAACTTAAGTTTAAAACTACGACTGTCTCGTGTGAACGTATCTAGTGTTGAGTCAGTGGACCCCATTAGATTTCCATTTGTCCTGTATGTGAACTTGTAAGGATGAGAAGGTAGTACTTACGGTGCCAAAAAGTTTGCTTTGAGTGGAACGCAAATACTGCTTATATGGCGCAGTGGTTTCTTTCAGTGTTTGAATGACTATATTTGCTGTACTTCATTTATAGCCAAGAACTCCTCATGTGTAGAGGTTGTCCCTGTCAAGCAAATCGAACTGCTTGCTTGCACTAGGGTGACTGGCATTTCCCTGTGATTGTTTTGGTACAATTAAGGTTTGTAAGTATTCTGACTTATATATTTGCTGTTGTGGTCCAGAGGGTATTGCATATCCTTAAGATTAAGAATTTCCCATTTAACTGGAATTCCCCCACACCACCGAAAATGCTTGTGGTGACTAGTTGTGTTAGTCATTTTTAATTCATTTCAAATCAATCTGATACTTGGTACTTGATGGACGTACATGTAATGTGAATGATGCATTAATTTTGTGGTGATACATCATTTTTATGCCTTAATGTCGCCATATGATCATCTGTTATAGCGCTTAGAGACTTTGGTGGTGGTAAGCGCTTTATAAGTAACGTTTTGTATTATTATTATTTAGCCTGCTAGCTTGATTCCAGTGAGTTAAGTACTATGTTCTTTCAAAATATTTGCCCTGTTAGATATGTCTCCTTGCATCAAGTTGTTCAAGTGATACAAACAGATTTACCGATTCAGTAGCCTTTTGTATTGATTTGTAATTCTGTTTTTTTCTTACAGGAGTTGAACCTCTCGGGTAGCCGGAACTCGTTACAAGGATCAGATTTAGGTTCTCCCGGTTACCATCTTGGACCGCAGTTATCCCCAAGAGGTTACGTAGACTCTGACCTGACTCTCCGGCCACGGAGTATGAAAGTAAGTCCTCCTTTCTTTCATATACCGTATGTTACTTCCTCAAGATAAGTCTGAAACACAGAGTCATTAAAAAAAAAATTATCCTGCTCAAAGCCTCACTCACACATGACGTGGTAACCTGGCTAAGAAAGAAAAAAATCTGGTTGAAATGAAATGACACAAACAATGTACAATTCATATTTCTCTATATAATATCACACATCTGAAGTGATCATGGGTAACGGTTTTTGTTGCATGCAGATACATGTACCTGATTTATTTGTTTACAGTGTTTTAGCTGAACGAGACTTAAAGAATTCAAGGTTTTATACTATTGAAATTTTGATGTGGTCAGGAAGATTGAAATAGTTCATTTAATTTGTACTGAATTGAAAATACACATAAAATAAATGTCCACATAACAAAAGAGGTAATTACAAAGGAAGTGAACATATATATATATATGAGTGTTTTTTTCTTCAAAGTTTCAAAGTGTCAGAAATAATGATCTTCTCCAACACTTTCTTTTTAAGATTTGAAGGCACAGTGGCGGATATGAATGATTATTTTTTTTGCAATTCTTCTTGTTCTTCTAGACAAAGCGTGGAGGGAGCCTAGGTGAACCTTCTCTCAGACCTGCTAGCGTGGCTGTTATGTCCAGCGGTGGACCGTTGTCCGCCGGGCATCGTCTATCTAAGAGCAACTCATCGACCAGTCTGAACTCTGTGTCTGATTGTATGGAGACACAGATCGTGAACCAGGAGGAGATCCTCCAGCTCACGCGGGATGTCCGTAACTTCTCGGAGGCACTCAACCAACTCAAGAGTGTCTTCAACCAAGATGGGGGAGGTAAGCAACAACTTTGGTTTTATAAATAAACTTTGGTTTTGTGTTTGAGGACTTGATGCTAATCGGGAGTTTTGGGGAGTGTTTCACAAAGACTATGGTTGCGTTTATCTAGCAAATTTTTGGCTAGAATCAGGTTTCTCAAACGTCTTTCAGGCAAATTTAGAAGTAGATAAACGCAAAGCCTTTTTCAAACGTCTTTAGATATGGGCATATCTAAAGACGCAAAAAGGCGCGTTTTGAATGTGACATACAGCCAGAATCACGTTTCTGAGAGATCGATAAACACAAAGCTGTTTTGAACCTCACATACAAATATGACCACCCAGGTGTTGTGTACAAGCATACGTGTGAAGTTGACCTCCGAGAAACTGTCTGCTTCCCGGGTCAAAACAGCTGGGCAGACACAAGGCCTTTATTTTGAATCGTGAAGGGTCGATAAACGCGACATCCCGCAAATCACGATCGTATAGTGGGGTACAATAGTGGGGTTCGATAGTGGGGTACGATATGTACATATCTAGTGGCAAGCCTAGATAAACGCGCTCTAAGATAGAATTTAAAGGTAAAGATCAGTTCTGGTCGTGCGATTGCATTGTGAAAGAAACGTTGTGGAATCGATCGGAAAAGGTTGATCCTCTAGCATATAAGTAATGGGTGTATACTGCAAGGTTCTGGAATCATCAAAATGATAAGAAATTTGGACAAGTGGTAAAGTTGGTAAAGTTACCAGAAAGATAATAGTTAATAGAAAGATACATGTAGCTCTAGTCATCCCAACTGCATGTTGTGCGATCAGAAACTTTCCATTGGTGAATTCGCTGCCGTTGTTGTTGTTGTTTTGTTTGCACAAGGTCAATTACATACGTGCTTCCAGAACTCAAAATTTCTTCTGTTAGAAATTACTCTTGATCAGTGGCGTACCTGGGGTACTCCGTCAGGGGGGGCAAGCGACCGAAACAAACAAAAAAGGCGATGCTAATTTTCACTTCTGGCGAGCGAGCGAGCAAAAAAAAATCTTTTGTGGAGCCCCACAGAATACCCCCCCCTATTTTTTTGTATATCTTTGACTATGTATGTATGACACAAGTATATTTCTAGCCCCCATATAGTCCCTCCTCTTAGTTAATTAGGTACCCCCTCCTGCGAGAGTGGCCTCACCCACAACTAACCTAAACACACCAGCTGGGATACCAGGAGTGGCTTCTCACTTTGTTTTGCCATGCATCCTAGTCAACACTTTTCTTATTTTGTCTTCCTTTAATAGGTAAGAAAGAATCTTTTATTATTCAATTGTGTTATATTCTTGTTCTCCATAATATGTGTATTTCTAAACTATTATAGCTTCACTATTCATATATCTTGTATTACTGTGTAAAAAGAGATATTAATGATCTTTGCCAATGACTTGTTGGATTATATGACATGTGGACTATGAGAGGAAATATAAGAAATGCCATGTGGGAAGAGATGCCATGTGGGGAGAGATAATGTCATTGATGAACATAGTAATCACTTGTAGAAATGATAGGAAAGTATTATCGTGTGTGTGAGATTGATGATTATGTTGTTTGATTTAGACAACATTTTAAGTAAGTTTTGAGAAGAGAATATACTTTATTACTGTCAGTATATTTGTCTTTTGCTCAATATTCATGTGTATATATATATTCTTTGCCAAGGACATGTGCCATTTACTATGCATTATGCCAAAGCACATTGTTATATATTTATAGTTTGGTTAGATACAGTTTAATAGCGAAATGGGTTGTTCGAGTCCAGATTATCTTTAACTTTCAGTATTATGGTATGAGTGAGTGTGGACGCACCATGTGTATAATATTAGTGTGTTATTAGGTTATGGCAGTGCGTGCAATGTGAACACAACTTCTTATCAGAGTTCTTAATCCCCTCTCTCCCCAAGCTTGACCATCCACTGCAATGCATTACACGCCCACAGTGTAGATAGAGTATATGCTATACCCAAATGCTATGTTGAGAAGTGTTAGAGATAGAATGTGTTTGCTTTTTGCCCATGCTGGAAAATGGTATCTTAGGCGGGAATGAAAGTTTGGTAGAGTCAGCAAAATGAGAAGACAAAGGATTTGAGTTGGGGAATACACTTGTTGAGAAACACATGGTCAAATTGTCTAATAGTTAGCTAGTGATGGATGGGTTGATGAAATATTGTAGTTGAAGACTTGCATAATCACTGTCTGGAATTCATTGTATTATATTGTTAGGAATGAAATTCAGGTTAAATGTTATTGGGAATTACTCTCTCTCTCTCTCTCTCTCTCTATATATATATATATATCTCCCTCTCTCTCTCTCTCTCTCTCCCCCTCTCTCTTTATATTCTCTTTCTCTCTCTCTCTCCCTCTCTGTATGGTTCACCCTTTCTCTTTCACTCTCACTTTGCTTTGTATATAACCATGAAATGAATATACATGTATTTAGTAAAACTATTGGTTGTTGTTTAGAATTAGAATATGAACTGTATGTGAAGATGAGATTATACAGTAAGAGGAATTCGTAATATTGGTTGTAAGTTTGTTAGAGCTATTAGTACAGACTGCAGACTAAGACTATTTGCCAGTGCTGTGAATATTGTAAGGAGTTTAGGATATAAGTTGTTGAAGATGTATCTTTTCAAGCTCAGTAGTCTCGCTGAAAAAGATAGTATTAGATCAAAGTGATGCAGATGACTATTGGAAAATACATGAGCTATAGTTAAGGAAGAGTTATGAGTTTATTCAGTATTAATGTGAAGTCCTGAGACAAGAAGTAACTTGTGAATTTAGGGATTAGTGAAGGCTGAGAGTAGAATTACATTCTAAGGGTCTATGTGCACAGTGGATCCTCAGTCTTGGAGCGTAAAGAGTAGAAAGCTTATTAGGCAATAGTATAGGGATGATTATGCCAACATTCTTGTATTAGGTCTATATATGTGATTTCTTGAAAGAGACGCTAAGTGAAGAGTTATATGATTAGAAGCTAAAGTAGATTGACTGATACCGCAATGTTATAGACATTTGATAAGGGTTAAGTTATTTATTAGTAGCCAAGTTATGATTATGAGATCGATGAAGAGTTGCACTTTTACATAAAGCATGGAAGTAAGGATAGTTTCTTTTAGAGATAGTAATGTAATGAAACTTTCCCAGATGATGTTCTTAGTGATATAGAAAGAGAACACTGAGAGCTAATGAATCAATGTATGCGAACAGGTAGATTTATTTGTGTTTAATACTTGAAGAGTATTGTTATGCCATTTGATCTTATATATGTTATTGTAAGAAAAGACTGTTATTGTAGAAGATTAAGTAATAAAGACTTTGTTTTGCCATGCATCCTAGTCAACACTTTTCTTATTTTGTCTTCCTTTAATAGGTATGCCCCCTCCCTCGGGGTGTGGGCGCTACACTTTAAGTAACGTTTGGTATATAAACTGGTATTGTTGCAAGTTGGGGGTGGGAACATTCACTTGTTAGCGACGTTAATTTCATTTTTTTTTGCAAACGAGCGTAGCGAGCAAGAAAAAAATCACTCCTTTTTTAATAATTGCCACTTAAACTTGGTTCAATTGTCCCATGCAGGGCGCGGGAACAATATTGTGTTTAGGGTGATTTCATACCCATTTTAGATAGCGAGCCTAAATACATCTCTCTCTCAATGAATTGCTATATAAAATTTGTTTCATTGTTGCAGGTCGGGGGCGGGCACAATCGTGTTTCAGGCAATGTCAATCCCATTTTGGTGGGCAGGCAACCCCCTACATTTCTCTTTTTAATGATATTGTAGCAGGTTAGTGGTGGGCACATAATTCCAGCTAGCGAGCGTAGCGAGCGAGCGAAAAAAATCACTTCTCGTTTATAGGGAAAATATGGTACATAAACTTGGATTCATTGTTCCATGTCAGGGACATGATTATTAAAAGCGGTGTTATTTCTATTTTGGCGAGCGAGCGTAGCGAGCGAGCAAAAAAATCACTTCTCTTTTGTAGGGAAAATATGGTACATAAACTTGGGTTCATTGTTCCATGTCAGGGACATGATTATTAAAAGCGGTGTTATTTCTATTTTGGCGAGCGAGCAAAAAAATCACTTCTCTTTTATAGGGAAAGTATGGTACATAAACTTGGGTTCATTGTTCCATGTCAGGGACGTGATTAATAAAAGCGGGATTATTTCTATTTTGGCGAGCGAGCGTAGCGAGCGAGCAAAAAAATCACTTCTCTTTTGTAGGGAAAATATGGTACATAAACTTGGGTTCATTGTTCCATGTCAGGGACATGATTATTAAAAGCGGTGTTATTTCTATTTTGGCGAGCGAGCGTAGCGAGCGAGCGAAAAAAATCACTTCTCGTTTATAGGGAAAATATGGTACATAAACTTGGGTTCATTGTTCCATGTCAGGGACATGATTATTAAAAGCGGTGTTATTTCTATTTTGGCGAGCGAGCGAGCAAAAAAATCACTTCTCTTTTGTAGGGAAAATATGGTACATAAACTTGGGTTCATTGTTCCATGTCAGGGACATGATTATTAAAAGCGGTGTTATTTCTATTTTGGCGAGCGAGCGTAGCGAGCGAGCAAAAAAATCACTTCTCTTTTATAGGGAAAATATGGTACATAAACTTGGGTTCATTGTTCCATGTCAGGGACGTGATTATTAAAAGCGGTGTTATTTCTATTTTGGCGAGCGAGCAAAAAAATCACTTCTCTTTTATAGGGAAAGTATGGTACATAAACTTGGGTTCATTGTTCCATGTCAGGGACGTGATTAATAAAAGCGGGGTTATTTCTATTTTGGCGAGCGAGCGTAGCGAGCGAGCAAAATTTTTGTAATGATAATTGGTTCATAAATTTCAGATTTTTTTTGTTGCAGGGCAGGGCTTACACAATCATGTCTAAGGTGATGTTAATTCCGTTTTGGCGAGCACGAGCACACCAAAACGTCTTTGAATAACGTTTGGTACATAATTATTAACTGGTTGTTGCA